AAGAAAGATATTATTTTTATTTAAGTAATTTAAATTTAGGCATTTTAAATAAACATATTTTACGATTCTATCACCTATTCGGAATGCAAAATTAGGAGGCACAATTTTAATTAGCAGAACTTTGAATTCAAAAGCAACGTTATAACTTAAGAAAGACAAATAAAACTTATGAAAGAATTAATATTTTTTCCACAACGCTTTGAAATGAGGATATTTTAAATTCCAATTTTGCACTTCAGTCCGATGGCAGACATGCAGATGGGCCGAGAATTTTGCAGAGATTTGCATCGGTTGCAAAAGTAAGTTATGGTAATCTGGCTATAAGTTACAGACTTGAGCTGGTAAGCTTTTCAATTTTATTGGGAGATGAGACACTTTTAACACAAAGTTTTTCTACAAGATTGAATTTGTCCCTCGTTTTAATATAGCTGGTGAATCGGTATCAGATGTAGCTTACGATTTGGTTGCTAAGAAATAGCTATAGACGGTTTGTCATTCAGAGGAGTTATGATGAGATTTTTATATGCATATTGTTTCTATGCTACATATTAAACAAAGTATGCAAAATTGCGCTTTTAATGTTTATTTTTATAGTATAATTAGGATTTTTATTATGATTATTTCTATTAATGTTAAATTATTGATTTTTGGTGAGTACATTGGTAAATCTGTAAAGCTCACTAATAAAATAAATTATTTAGATACTTTATTTTTTTTATTATAACCTAGGTTAATTATTGTTTAAGAAAAAAAAACAATTATGCAAAAAGATAGATTCACTCGATATGCAAGTACATATAAAATGTAACAGATAAGTTTGTTATATAGCAAATAAACAAAGTTGGGTGATAATAATATAGTTATATAATACAGTCTTAAATTGTTGTGATAATTTGCTCAGCGATTCAGTTTTATAATTGTTGTTATAAAATGTGTACTAGTTTATACATACACATGTACAAATAAAATGGAAATATTTTTATTTCCCCAAGAAATAATGCAGATAAGATTGTTTTAAATACTAATAATACATAATTTTTAACAAATATACATTTTTAACATACTGCTAATGTATAATTTTTATTATGTATGTATTATTAAAAAATAAAAATTGAAAAATTTGATTTGAATATATTTATTGCCTACTCAATCACACTGAAATCGCTGAAATGTTTTGAACAAAATTTGATTCTGGGATAGACCATAATCTGAGTACTACAGACCATAATATAGGATATCCTTTATCTTATTTAATGCAAACAAATCGTGGAATACATCTAATATAAAACAATATACTTCTAATGAATACGTATTTAATATGGAACAGAAAACAGTTCAGTTTCTTAATTCCACTCTTCCATTAAGGATACAATGTCAAGCAAAATGCAACTAAAAGCTCGCTGTAGCAGATTTCTATCGCTTTTAGTACATCAATCGTCCTCCGGAAATAAACTTACTAGGACAACACAGATCTGTGTTAGCGAAAACTCGAACAAGATTTATGGGTTTCACAGTCAACCGATATTCTAAATCTCTATTGATAAATGCGTTTTCGAGTTCAACATAACTGCACATAACCTTTGGTTTTGTTCCGTGTAATCGGAATTAAATTATAGGTATTAATGGACGTTTTTAACAGACTTCAAAATATTTAAAATAGTTTTCAATTCTCTCATATCTTTTTTTGTTTGTTACCTCATAACTCGGTTAGTTCAAAACCGATTTGGAAAATTATTTTTTTATTTGAAAGGTAATACTTACAGATTAATCTCATAGAAATTTAAATCTAAATCCGTTTAGTAGTTTCGTTTCTGGATTAAAATAACTGGTTTCGTCACAATTGCAGTCGGTTTTTTGTTGTTGTCATTTACCAAAGTGAAATAAAATATATATAAAAAGAGAGTAAAATGTTTGCGATTGTATAGATAAGTTTTTATTAGTGATAGTTATTTTGTCATTAATGTTCACGATATGATCAACATCATATCATCCGCTAATTGTCCATTATTGACTTAGATTTTGGTATTATTTTAAGAACAACGCTGCTGCTTATACTTCGCCCATTAAGTTCGCTTAGTCGCCTCTTATGACACCCATGGAAAAGGCAGGTGTGGCCCATTCTACGCCGGAACAATATTCACGATATGATTTATAAAAAATTAATAGCATTTTAATTCAGTTGCATGACATGTTACGATGAAATAATCTTAAAAAGAAAGAAAATTTGAGAAAATTAAAAATAGGCAAAAATAATTATTAATTATAGTAGTTACAATTACATAATTACTGTGAATCATCATCATAATCTCAGTCATCATCAGCCACTGAAGAAACTTTCTTCGCCTATCAGTTGTCGGTTCTGCGAGCTATGTGATCAGCTCTTATATTAGGATTATTGTGAATACTTTATAATTATTTGTAATTATAATAATTCACAGTGGTTAGTTAAGTCGTATAAGATAACAATTTAACAAACAAACTTACTTTCACATTTAAAATGTTAGTAAGGATTGTCACCTACCAAAATTACTACACATTAGAAATACATAGAAATAAGTAAAAAAATGAAATAAAATCCAAGAACGTTTAATATTATTTAATCGACTTACTCAAATTAGTGATGTAATTATAAGTAAACAAAATTATTATTATATTTATGTAAACATTTTTAAGCGAATTAAAAAAAAAAGAGAAGGTTTTTATCAATTCAGTACATGAGTATATGTTACGCGATTACGTAGGTAATTTTTAACCCAATTGTCATATTTATTTTTTTTTATTTCTAAACTGTAGCTGTTAAGTTTTGTGCCAGTATCTTTTTTGCTATTTTTTTTTCCTATTTAGTAGGTAAATATAACAATTAACCTACATTTTCTCTAATTGGCACTTGATATACGAGATTAACGTTAAATGCGAGGAACTCATTTCACTTGGAAAGTTTATTAATGTCGTGATGCTCTAAAGTAATTCTATATGACTTCATTAAATTAAAAAACTTCCCACCAATAAATTAAATCTTAATAAATTGTTTTCTCGGAAATGAGTGGAAAATTATATTTATGTTTTATTTTTGTTTACTCTATCTAAAATTATGTCTTCATGTTAAGGGGAAGGCATACAATGTGACACAACTACTTTGAAATTACGCTTTCATGTTAAGGGGAAGGCATACAATGTAACACCACTACTTTTAAATTTCATCTTGATGTTAAGAGAAAGGCATACAATATGACACCACTACTTTTAATTTATGTCTTTATGTTAAGGGGATGGCATATAATGTGACACCACTACTTTTAAATTACGTTTTCATGTTAAGGGGAAGGCATACAATGTGACACTACTACTTTTAAATTTCGTTTTTATGTTAAGGGGAAGGCATACAATGTAACACCACTACTTTTAAATTACATCTTGATGTTAAGGGAAAGGCATACAATATGACACCACTACTTTTAAATTATGTCTTCATGTTAAGGAGAAGGCATATAATGTGACACCACTACTTTTAAATTACATCTTGATGTTAAGGGAAAGGCATACAATATGACACCACTACTTTTAAATTATGTCTTCATGTTAAGGGGACGGCATATAATGTGACACCACTACTTTTAAATTACGTTTTCATGTTAAGAAGAAGGCATACAATGTGACACTACTACTTTTAAATTACGTTTTTATATTAAGGGGAAGGCATACAATGTAACACCACTACTTTTAAATTACATCTTGATGTTAAGGGAAAGGCATACAATATGACACCACTACTTTTAAATTATGTCTTTATGTTAAGGGAAAGGCGTATAATGGGTCATCACTATTTTTCATTATCATGTAAAAGGCCACTAATGGAACAAATCACAATACACCAATTTAAGCGAAGGAAAACTCAAAATGAATTAACTAATTAATTTATCAAGCGATTTGGTCGTCGGCAATAGTTTTTTTTTTAATGGATGATAATGGAATGATAACCCTGTCTGTGCTATCGCTATACACAGGCGGGGTTCCAATGAGGGATGATCGGTGAGGTTGAAAAGGTCAGTTAGCCTATTGTGACGAACTCAACGATAAATTAGTCACGATGATTTCTAGGGGGAACCACATGGAGGTCGACCTGATAGGTTATACTGGTATCAATGGGAATTAACCTCCCCACTCATAATAACCCCTTCGTCCCCGTCGGCAATAGTATACTAATAACTTTTCATTGTTGAAAGAGACGTTTGTAGGTTGCTATAGTTAGGAGTCAGCAATTCGCATCAAATCCATTCATATGTACTAAATTTATACAAAGTTGTAGCTAGATTAAAAATCAAAGAGAATAAGAGTTATACATTTATCAGTAGGTTTAGACTCTAATAACAACATAAAAATAATGTACATAAGCAAATTTTGCTCAGCTAAAAGGCAACTTGAATGAACACAAGATACTAGCACATCAATATTAAATGCAGTTGAGTAAATAAAAGTATTCTGTCTTCATACTCTGTAATTTCATTACCATATGTCATCCTTTAAACCGAAACACAGCCTTGTAATACTGTAATAATGTAATAATAGCTGCTTGGAGACAGAAACATGAGTGGTACTCGTACAGAGGCACCCGCGTAAACGACATTTATAAAAAGTTTCTCTGGTGAAATAAGTCACATAAAAAAAAATAAAGGGTAAGGCAAGAACAAATTACTTCATTTCAACTCTAATATGATGTAGTTAATTAGTAAAAAAAATAGAAAGTTCTATTTTAGGGATTAACCAATTAATAAAGTTACAAATTAATTTCCTACCGAGCTATAGCAATGAAGAGGTCAAACGTCAATTTTCCGTCAGCAAAATTACGTAGGGCGGCGCAAGTTTGCATTTCTTAAATCGTTTAACAGTTGGGTTTCATTATCAAACACTCCAGCAGAGCTCGCTCATCAGGGCTAAAGGCATAACATGGTTCGCATGCGTAAACGACTTAGCTCTCTCAAAGCTTTCAGTAGCGACGGAGACATAGGGACGAGAGCTTGTCCCGACATTTCATGATCATCTCTTACGCGATCTACGTGGAACTCGAAATATTAAGTTATAATAAGTAATAAAAATCTCTATTCGATAATGTGGTGGTGATTGATATAGATTTGTTAAATGGTGTTTAAGTGTTAATCAATAGGAAATATGGGGATTTGAAAATTGACTATTAATTAGGGAAATAAAGTGAAAAGTATCTGTTTCAAGATAAAGTCGATTGCGTAAACGTAAGACCGTGTAGTGTTTTAGTATTAATCTCTATAATATAACTAAACTTGTGGATTTTCATTTCATATGACAGTTTAATTAATTTTCCGCCCAAATGGTGGTGAGCTTATAGCAAACCGTTCTGATTAGCATACGCATGAGATTAATGAATCATATATTAAAAGATTAATTGAAATTATATTAACAACTTCTAATACTTTTACATTTATATAACAGTTATGTTCTGGGTATTTGTGTACGTATAATATACTTTTCATTTTGATAATTATATTTTGAATATTATATTATACATTATTTATTAAAACTGATTAAGTTATTTTAAATTATTTTAAAGTCTTAGTTTTGCCTATATAAATACACATATGTATATATAATAGTAGGTATTTACATTTTGCCACTGTTGCTAGCAAATTGACTAGCCGGTTTTTTATATATTTGTATTTCTGTATACTTTTTGATAAATTTCCTTCACTCTTTTCTGTTATTTTTTTTTTAATACACAGTTTTACATGATTTACTTTGTCATTATTAATAATCTCTAGTCACAACTATGAATAATATTTTAATATTTAAAATTTTAGCTAGGTTTATTCAACGTTTTTTAATATTGTACCTCTTATATTCCAATATAAGAGATATTGAATATATTCATCGGTAATGTATTCAAGATAACCTTAAAACTTATTTTTTTTTTGTATCACGCCATCATTTTTTATCACGTCATAGTAACCTATATCTGTAGGTTAGGATTTATTAAACTTTTTTTAAGATATTTAGGAAATTTTCAAATCGTTTGTATGCGTTCAAAGAGGACTTTTTACAGTTTATTTATATTATCTATCTCTATGATCAATTTAAAATCGTTTTATTAAAGTCACAGCCACAATTATTCTATCTCAGTCTTAACAAACTTTCGAACTACTCTTTCCCGATTAGAATAATTCTTGATATGTCGCAGTGCATTCAGCAATTTTAACACATTTATATCACAATTAATTCAATTACCGACAATATATTAGTTATAAATCGGACGTTAAGGGTATCATTCAGGCAAAATCACCCTGTATGTTAATTTATGTAATCTATTATTTTATAAGTAACTGTGTGGTGAGCATGATCCATCCTAGATCTTATCATCACCATCGGGCAAGGTCTGATGAAGCGCAAATCCATCTTATTATAAAAAATGTCTATCTATATTCAAATAATTCAAATAATACATTCAAATAAAACTCGAAATTATAGATATAATAAAAAATATACTGTCATATATTAATAAAATCTATTTAGTTTTAATTAGTATGATTGAGTAACAAACGTGGCAATATAGGTACAAATACTCAAATATCTTTGCAAGCTTTCACACTGGATTATATGTATGTAGATTTGCATTGTGACTTATATTGTGATAAAATTAATTATGGCTAAAAAGTATTATTAAAGATTTAAAAAAAAATGTATCCACGTATGACGAGGTATTTCATAGACATCTGCAAAAAATAAACAACTTACTATTAGAAACCAGTATAAATACAGAAATGAACTCCACAGACTGATAAAAAAAATCGGTGAAACAAAAGGTGAAAATAGGAATAGGAGTGTTAATGTTTTCGTTGTTCACTTTATAGTATATACTAAAAAATTATATAAGTTTGTGATTTTTTATTTTTTTTAATGGATGATAATAGAATGAAAACCCCGCCTGCGCTAACGGTATACACTGGCGGAGCACCAATTAGGAATGATATGCGAGGATGAAAAGGCAGGTCAGTTAACCCATCGTGATGAAGATGGTTTCAAGGGGGACCACGTGGAGGTCGACCGCCTAACCGACAGGGTATATAACTAGTAATAGGACTGTTTATACTCATTACTAACAATTCTTTCCCTCCATAAGTTTGTGATTGCATCGCTGCATTTTTTTGTTGATTGTTGGGGTTCATGACAATACGTAATAGAAATAAAGTTAGTATAATTTAGTAAAGGCATAGGAAATCTTATCGATTTCGAGAAAAAATTATGGATATTTATGAAAAATAAAAAATCGCATCTGGCAACTCTGATATCAAACAAGCTGTCGGCCCACCTTATGAAATGTGGTAACTGACGTCTATAGACATGAATAGCACCATAAACATAATATACCATGATATTTATGGTATTCATTATGGGTTGTCATATATGACGTCTATGCCTTACTTCTCTATTTCCTATAATTTCATTGCACATCGCACCATTAAAACCGAAACACAACCATACAAGCATAGCTGCTTTACATCAGAAACACGAATGGCATAGAGGCACCCATGGAAACGACTTTTGTACAAAGTCTGTCTCAGGTATAAATTATGAATGATATACTATCCAGATAGACTATGAATATTACACGATAAACTATATCCACAGCATTTCCCATGTGTTTTACTGAGGGCTACTTTGTTGCGCTCCTTGAGTAGATTGCACTATCATGCCTTTCAAACAGAAATAAAATAATATGTGCATAACTGATTACTTGTCATACTTATTACTCTGTTATATGACTAATTCTTACTTATATATACGTTAAAGTGAGTAACTTTGTTTATTTGTTACCTTTTAGCGCTATCACAGTTTAATCAATTACTATAAAATTTGATATACACGTACGGAATGGAGATAGTTTTATCTCGACCACGTGAAGGAAGTCGCGAGTAAAAGCTATTAAATATGTGTGAAAAGTATAAACTTTAATTTATTCTTTTATTTATTAGGACAAAAAGTATTTGTATCATGGACTACCTGTGTACCGGATTTCATTTAGATTCGTTTAGCCATTATCTGTCTAATTTTCTGTTCTTATGAATTACTCTTAAGCGTGACTGGGTTACAAAGATCATTACAAATTTTTACATATAGACAAATAATAATACCGTAATATTATATAGTACATTAAATTTTTATTTTAAAAGCTGATCAAATTAGTATATCACGAATAAGGTACTAGAAAAGTCAATCATCGAAATCAATATAGATTTAGAGAAAAGAATGCGTAACAGTTACTTATAAAAAAAAATTTCAAATTGAGAATCTTTATGCCGGAGATTCGATTGTTTCTCGGCTGTAGATTCAACTAAAATTGTCTCAGTAATTGTAGAGAAAGGCACATTTATTATTCAATTCAGACTCATTATTCATTTATGTATTCAGGTAATTTTAATTCTAAAACAGCTAACTTTGAAACCTATGTTACAAAATCAATCTGTTAAGAAGTTCTAACACAGGACACAAACAAGTTTTCAAAAGTAATGTTCTAAAAATAAACAAAAAATTAGTTCTTGTTTTTAGTTGAAACCCTACTTAATAATCTTTGTTAACTTTATTACGAGTACTTTTCCATGTTCAGTTATATTTTTCAGTTTTGAAATTCTATTATATATAATTATGTCAGTATTGGGCTATTTATCATAAAAAATGCCTGCACTTGATTAATATAGAAATTACTTGATGATATTAAAACTGCGCAGAGTAAAATAATAATTACCTATTTACTTTGGAAATGGGCTTCAATGTGTATTCGTTAATTTTTGTTACGATAAATTGTTTTTTCAGTTGCATTTTTTCAATAGGATTAAAATGGAACAGTTACTTTTCCTGCGCTGTGCAGTATATGCTGGTATGTGAGGACGAAAGCAGGTCAGTTCACCCATTGTGACGAATTCATCAAGAATTAACCACGATGATTTCCAGGGGGACCGCGTGGAATTGACCTGAAAGGGTATATTGCTAGAAATGGGGCTACTTGTGCCCATTATTAACAATACTTTTCGCCCTTTCAGTTGCGATTTATATTTAGTAATCTCAGTTACATTAGCCGACTTTGAAAACAACAACAAGCTTTCATGAATTAGGCCCCACCTACTTCGTTAACTTCAATGTCCTCAAGAAACTTGCATATCGTAAATAGTTTATATATGGTACTAATTGGTAACATTTGACATTATCGGATAAATTTTCTTATATACCAATTAAAATTAAAAAAGTGCGTTTAATGAACAAGACTTTTTTTTGGGATATCCAAAAACTATAGATTGTTACTAACTTATGTTTAGTATAGGCTTTATGTATTATTCCTGCTATCCGAATTTCTGTAAGCAAAATATTTTTTTGTACATCGGTACATTGGTAACATTGGGGCGAATATGACTGATCATTGATCAAGTCGATCTATATGAAGTATTTCGGAAACCGTCGTAATTAATTCCTGGCGAATTGATCATGATAGGCTAACCGATCTGATTTCGTCCTCATCTATCATACCTCATAGGTGACCCGCCAGCGTATACCGATAGCGCAGACGAGGTTACCATTTCATTGTTACATTAAAAACACTATTTATGTAGTATAACGATTCCAGTTAGGCATAAAGAAATGTCTATATACATACGTGACGGAAACATACGTTTTAAAAATAATATCATAAAGAAATGTTTATCATAAGAAAAGAAGTAAAAAGTGTCGACAAGGTACACGCAACATCAATGTTATAAAAAAATCTTGCCACGACAATATGTTCGTTCCGGGATCACAGACTTGATATATTTTTCATAATTTTGGATAACAAAAGTTTTGTGTTCGCAATATTTTAGATCAATAAAACCAATATCAGTTTGAGATTGGGTAAAAATGAACCTATAAGATTAACGTTTGAGTTGGAAATAAAAAAATGGCATCTAACAACCCTGTTTTTATACATATGGATGTAGTAACTAGTAGTAACTTACTAACTACTAATTAGTTCAGGGCACTTCTCTCTAATGTACCTACATATCTGATAACTTCTATTTAGCAATATTAATTAAATGTTAAAAATATACTCGCCAAATTGAGTACACATCTATAGTGAATTTAATAACCAAATATGTTTAAATGTTCGTCGTTATTAACATTCTTGAAATTTATTCCTAGTCCTATCTCACGTACGTTGTTCGCTTCAGAGAGAAAAGGCTGGCATGGCGTGTTC